CTTCCTTCCTTCCTTCCTTCCTTCCTTCCTTCCTTCCTTCCTTCCTTTCTTCCTGCCTTTCGTCTTCCTTCTTCATCTTCCTCCTCTCTCCTTATTTTTCTTCTCCCACTTGCAAACCCATAGAGTTCCTTCAGGAACTCACAACTAGATCTCACAATTTTCACTTGAGAGAATAATTGGGTATTCCTTGATAATGATAGCATTTAAAAAGTACTAGCAAGGACAGTTATTTTGGGTGGCACTAGGAATCAAATCCAGGACCTGACCTATGCTAAAAGAAGTGTTCTACATGGAGCTACATTCCCCAGTCCATCCCTACAGTTATTTTTGTTGAGAAGCTATATAACATTTCACAAGACATAGCCAAAGTTTGGGTGGCTAGCTTAAAATATTCCAACATTTTCCAAATCATTGCTGCTACTATAAATCCTAACCGCAGCTGAGATTTCAAGGCTGACCTTGCTGTTCTATAAAATGCAGAAGGGGAGTATGAGCCTGCTTATGTGGAGGGTTTTGAATTATCCTCATCATCTAATATTCATGCTATAAAAACTCTGCAAAAAATGCTATTTCCTAAATAAATGTCAAGAGTCTAGATGACATTCAGTGAATGATTCCAAGAAGAGTGCAAACAGTGTTTCCTTAATTAAAAGCAAGCAAGCAAAAAAAAAAAAAAAAAAAGATAGCTAATGAAATGTCATCATGTGAAAGGGAATGAGTGGGAGAAACAGAGAGCTCCAGGAGAGACCATGTCAGAGAATGCCTCAGATTCTGAGATGCGCCCACATGGACAGCTGGTAGAAACCTGCCCCAACTGCTGTAGAACCAGGTCCAGCAATGCTAAAATATTACCAAAACCTGAGTTCCCAGGGGAAAGGTCTGTCGTATCCATTCAGCCACCAACCCATCCATCCACCCACCTACCCAGTCAGACAGCCAGCCAGCCACCCACCCATCTGTCCATCCATCCATCCATCCATCCATCCATCCATCCATCCATCCATCCATTTCTCTATCCCTTCCTATTTCCCTAGTGAGACAAGATCTCACTATGTAGGCCAGTTTGCCCTGAATTCACGATCTTCCTATGTCCACTTGCTGGAATTATAATTATGTGTCACTATGCTCAGTCTTAGCATCCTTTGGAAACCGAGGTAATGAATATGAATCCATGCTGTCATTATTCAAATAAGAGCAAACTGCACTGGGCCACTGTGTCTTCTGTGCTGAGGAATTGCTAAGCACACTACTGAACACTATTTCACCAGGTGAACTTTGTGTAGAGCACCAATACAGATCAGCAAATCCTTTTTTCGTTTTTTGTTTTTCCAGACATTGGTATTTTGTGTTTCCTCCAAAGCACAAATCTGTATCAGAAGAGGATCTGGGACATTGCTGAGGATGTTTGGAGAGTACTACCTTCATCCCTATTTTGAATCAGAACTGTTATTTCACATGAAGTAATGGGGGGGGGGGGTAGGCAGTACCACACCATTTTAGCATTGCAACGCTCCCAAGTGTTAGCCTGAGCCTAGCTCATTAGGGTTGCGTTGGCCCAGACCCTAACAGCTCCATCAGTAGGACACAATTCACCTTCACAATTCACAGTTCACAATTCAAGCCTAAATTGGCTCTGAACCACACGACTGGAACACTGCCTGCCCATCGCAGGTACACTGCCTGCTGGCGATTCCCTTCGTTGTTACTTTGTGCACTCTGTGCCTCATTCCGTATCATCACTCCTCAGGATATTTCTCCCTAGGTTGAAAACACACATCCTACTTCCAGCATCTGCTTCAGGTTTCCTGGATGGCCGGGTAATGTGTTTGTTTAACTCACTTAGCTTTGGACTATAGATTTTACCAGTGGCCCTTGGCACACCGGCCTCAGTATGTTTGTTTTTCTAAGTTCTGCCTTATCTTACTTCCTCTGGAAAAGCCTCTCTTTTCACAGCCTGGCTGAAGCTTGAGCCAGCAACTCTCTCGAGCCCTGCCTAGAGAGTTTGCCCAAGAGGGAGGCTAAATGATCTGCAGTTTGAAAATCATAAGCACTTTGTCATGTAGTGTTTCATCCGAAGGTGAGGTGAACAGCCTGAGAGTGTGGCTGAGACACTGAGCGTGAATTAGCAGCAGTCATTTTCTGGCCACTCCTTAATCTTTCCCATCAGTGAAGTTCAGAACGTCTCATATACATGGGATGCACTTGGGCTGCTTGTTAAAATTCAAGTTCCCAGCCCAATATCCTCTGAGAGTCCAACTTAAAACAGCTGGAGGGGCCTGGGCCAAGTATTAATTCATAATTGTTTTACTACTCTTGGGCAGTGTTTTTAATTGAAATATCCCTCTACTGGCCAACTTGATGAAATATTTTATAGATTGGAATGGGAGAGACCTCAGTGAAGTGCTGGGAATTTGGCATTTGTACATCTCCTATCTCGTTCTGAATCCTACATTAGCTCACTGACCACCCGTGTAAATGATCTGAACCCATTGTTTTCAAGTATGGACAGAAGTTAAGGATGCATAGGGGTCTGGTGGATTTGGCACAGTCATGTTCAGCGAAGAGTAGTTCTCATTTTTATATTGTTTTTCCAAAAGCATCATAGGAAAAATGGAGAGGGTTTTGAATGTGAAGAAGGCCTAAAAGCTAAGGCAACATGTATGGAGACTGAAATATGAACAACAGAGTGAAATTTCCTTTCTCTGCCCTCTCTGGTGATATATAGTGCCTGCCTCTTCTTGGCTTGGTAGTGTCTTGAGGATCTTTTAGCGGGTCTCTGCTTCTTCATGGACAGAGCTTCTAAATGCCTAGGTTAGCAGTGGTTAATTCTCTCCATATGCTCCTCAAGCCTTATTGATGATTTTTAACTTGATGTCTGCCTTCCTGCTAGAGGCTAAATTCCAGTAAGGGGTGGGAACTAGTTGCCCACTCCTGTTCTTATTCCTGGGCTTTGGAAGATGAGCCTCGCACTTAACTTTTGTGGGTAAAAGTAAGAATATATTTTTTAGAAAGTCATTAGTGCTGTTCAGCTTGGGGATAAAAAGCCTACACACCTCAACTTGCCTACAACAGCATGTTCATTCAAATGGACAGTTTCAATGTCCTTACAATGAACTTGTTGACTCTTAATTTATTTTTGCAGCCAGCCAAAAAGTTTTCTGGAACATCTGAAAGCAATATTGGGCTATTTTATTAAAGAAGAGTAAAACCCATAATGAATGTAAAGAGTTAGACAAATCACAGAAGAAAGCCTCAGATAACAACATCAATTTTTGTTAGTTTTCTATGAACCACCTGAAGGGGTTATCTAAATGATGCATTGCTACAGCCCACAGGACCTCTCAGGGAGAGCAGAAAAAAATAGTGGGGGTACAGACAACATTATTCTATTTATGAATCTTGGAAGCTTTTCTGTATTTCAAGTCTTTCCCCTTCCTCACATGGAGACATCTTACATAAGTGTTAATATCCCAGAGAGAAAGGGTAATTCACTGGGTGATCGAATTAAGCACTATGTCATACCTGTTCCGAAATCTTAGAGAAACAGCAAAATTCACGCATCATTTCCAATCTAGCAAAGCTGAGCTGAATTTTTTCTCCATTGTCATTTTGTTTCGGATTCTAACCCCAAACTGAAAGCCACTTTTATATCCTTTGACACGTGTTTCTTGAGAGGAAAGAAACCTTCCAAGTGCAAGGACGCTCGGGAAACAAATGCAAAGCTCTATTTCTTTTGGCATGGAGTCACCGAATTCCGTTCTTCTGGCTGAAGTTTACGTTGCTGTGTTATAGAAGGATACCTGGAACAAAAGTGAGAGAGGCTAAGCAGTCCTTTACCCTGTGCTTTTAATCAGCCGAGTCCTTACTAGAATTTAATCCCTTAGACAGAATAGTTATTCTTCATTATGCATAGAGAAAATCAGTACACTACCATAGACTCGAAGGTCCATATTAATAAGCATGTGAAAGTGCACATGAATACATCTTTATTCTTTGTTTATTTTGCAAAGTCATAGAGATGCCATATTTAAGGTTTTCTACAGATTTCTGTGTATTTCTTTAAACCCATTTATTTTCTTTCGTCCAGTAAAGAAAATACACGGAAAAGGAAGGAACATTTTATTCTCTGGCCAAATGCTGACAGCTGCAACTCCAGACTACCCCAGAGTTCTGTAAGGTCATTTTGCAGGGGCTGGGAATTCAGCCAGTTTGATTAAAGCCCCTATACTCTTTTTGTTTCAAAGCTTTATCAAGCTTGCCAATAGTAAAGACAAAGCCAATGTGGGCTTCCCGTACTAACAGCAAGAAAATTTTATGGTAGCAATTTGCTTGCAAGATGTGTGCCTCAGGTGACAGCATCCAGTAAGAGTGTCCTGCCATAACTCCACCTTATTTTTACTCTATGGAAGTCACACTATGTATTACTCAGTTCTGAAACAACACATATTTTATTTAAATTAGCTCTCTCCAAATTCATTGACTTCTACGGGTCAGCCTACTTGCTTTCCAGCATCTCTTTCTAATTACAAGTCTCCATTGAAATGTCCCATGTGGACTGGCCAGTTCCTTCCCCACTCAGCTACCCTGTCCTCTCTTCAGGCTTTGTTTATTGTGACGATTAACTGTGGTAGTCCCCCAAATGCCAATATTCTGCAAGTCATACCACACACTAAAGGTGTAATAAGCACCTGCCTGTTTCACACACTGTAATAGATATGGAACACGCCCCTTCCCACTTTTTGCCTTTATTTTATATTGCCTTACTTTCCTTATCTGCCATAAAATACCACTCTCTAGAGTCAAGAGGATCCATTACACGGCAAAAACCTGTATACACAGCTTACCAATTGGTTAAATCCACCCAATCCTGCTAACAAGGAGTTAGCAGGTGTGTAAAAGGTGACCCCAGTTCATCGGATGGAAACACCTGTGCTGATCAAGTGGCTCCTTCTGCTAGCCCATTGCTTGCTGTCTTCCTGTGCCAGGTACCCACCATGAAAGCAAGCACAAGTGCTGGGGCTGCTTGCTGTCTTCTGCCCGCTCTAACCTGAAACTGTTTGCAGAGACCAATGCTTTGTCACAGGAATCTCCATCTCTTTGCAAATGCATGTCAAGTACATTTCATTTTTCCTGTCTTGGTCTAGTAGAAAACCAGAGAGAGGAGGTTGGAGGGAGGAGCAGTCTATTCTCTACAATGGCTGGAGTATTTTTCACTCCCTTTCAACTAGGGTCAAGATTGTCTGCCTGACTGTCTGTCTGTCTGTCTGTCTGTGTCTGTCTGTCTGTCTGTTTATCTATCTCTATGTGTGCTTGTGTGTGTTTGTGTGTATAGCACCCAGGCATGTGTGTGCCAGTACAGGTGTGTGGAGGTGAGAAGTCAATCATCTCAATTACTGTTCCTCGGATGCTGTTCACACTGATTTTTTTTTTTTGAGACAAAGTTTCTGTAGGAGGAGCTAAGGTGGGAGGAGTAAGGAGAGGAAGAGGAGGAGGTGGGAGAGGAAGAGAAAAAAGGAAGAGGAGGAGCTAGAGAGGGCAGAGATGTAGGAGAACCACACAGGTATGGAGAGCACTCGTGGGGAACAACTTATAAACTTATAATTAGGTTAGCTAATTGGGATACAGCTCTCTTTGTATGGGCATCTTGTTATTAATCATTATCAAACATATAAAGCCTTTCATTAATCTATAAGAATTAGAGTCTCATTCTCTTACTGGACCCGCATGGATGGCGGAATGGTATGGGAAATGCCCTGCCTTGCAGAGACAGCATGGAAGATTGGCAGAGCCATCTCTCACGCTAGCATCTAGTGGGTGGCAGGGCTGGTGTTTCTGGTGGGCTGGTTCTAGCTGCACGTGGCCTCAGGCCAAGAAACGTGGCAGCTGGACTAGGCAGAGCGGCTGCCGCTTAGATAATTGGATGAACCAGAGGCCAGTTTTAAATAATTACCACAACAGGTTTCTCATTGCCTAGGAACTTTCCAAGTAGGTTAGGTTGACCTACAGTGTGAAGGGCAATTTGTTTGGGGGGAGTTCCTCACATTGGCCCCTGTGTCACTCCTTGTGTACCTCCAAGCCCACAGCTGGATCTGAATGTTAATGCCAGAGCTGCAAATGCTGGAGTCAAACAGCCAGGTGGGTGGCCACTGGCAGGGACAAGTCATACTCAGATGAGCTCGTGGGTATTGGGAGGATTCCAGGTGTTTTCCAAACACATCTTTACACTCTGCTTCTTGTCACACCTTTAAATTTCTAGGCTCTTTTGTCACTATTGTTTCCAATTAAATAGTTTGTCTTCTTTCCATTTCCTTCCAAAGTAATCCATACCCATTGCTCTGAATTAATCTACATGATCAAAACAAAATAAAACCCAGAGCCACCAATAACATCGTCATGTAAATTGAACCTGCCATGTGGAAGTGTTCCTTAGTTACATTAAAACATGAAAACATCTGTGCACAATGTATTATAAACATCTCCCACTTGCTCATGCATCTTGGCTTGTTTTAGAGGCGGAGGAATGCTCTTTGGTTCTATCAAATGGAGAATCTGGATTCTGCTCTGTGGCTCTGTGTGTCGTGATGTAGTTGATTCACACTCTGTGATAGCATGGCAGGCAGTAATCTAGTGCCTTGGGGTTTTCCTCCTACAACAAGACAAGGTTATAGTTAATATCCCTATATCAAAATCTTTCCACTCACACCCTCAGGTTTGTTCTGTGTTTTTATTTATTTAAAAGTCAAAAGCATGGAATGTTATCATTTGACTCTGAAGTGTCTCCCACTGGCTAGCGTTTTAAATGTGTCTTCCTTAATAAGTGGCAACTTAGAAGTATGTGGATCCTTCAGCAGGGCCTGATTTGTTGAAGCAGGTTACTAGAAGTGGGCCGTTAAAGAGCCCACCCTGGCTCCTAGTTCTGGAACTCCCCAGCTTGGCCATGGTGTCAGAAATATCTGCCACATACTCCTGTTGCCATGAACTCTGCCATGCAGTTCCTGCTTTGACAGACTAAGACTGTCTGAACCAACAGGTCAAATTCAACCTTTCGTAGAGTTACTGTAGATCCCAGTGATGCAACACATAAGACCCAGTATATTACATGTGCACTTTAACACACCTCATGTTACATGTGCACTTTTCCACAACTCCTCTCACGTGACAGGCCATGGTTAAAATGCACACATGCCATCGTGTGTGCCAGTGCCTTGCTTCTGTCTGAAATATGGTCTGTCAGGTGTGGTGAGCTATAGAACTTCCAGAAAGCTTTGGATTCTGAAACTTGACAGACAGACTTTGGATTTGCAGATTTTTGGATGTTTAGCTTGTGTAAGGATACCCTGTTATTATGGTAATATTTACAACATCTGTGCTTTCCCTATCCAGCTGCCATTACCTCAGTCCTACAGGAAGTATCCATAACTATATAGGGCAATATGTACAGCATATAAGGCAATATAATATGTAAAGTAATACAGCTTCTGAATTGAATTTATTCCACTGGCCCATTGGCCTATTTCAGCCCCATAGTTAACTCTACGTTAGTAGTGATATCTGGTTTTAGTATCTTTAGATATCTCATTTTAGTAATTTTAATAACTCTTAATCAGATTTTTGTAAGTTATTCAAACATCTTTACCTCTTGTGCTAGACTTTTCCTTACATATTTTTCATGCTACCTTCTTACATTTTCATTTCTGATTTCTAGTTTATCATAGAACAGTTGGGGTTATAGACTGATTTTACACCCAGTAATTTGATATAAGTAGATAAACCAAAATAAAATGAAAATATTTTAGATTTCATGAAAATAAAGTCATCATTTTAAAATGGAAATTCCTTTTTTCCCTTTCTAATGTTTATGCCCTTTTTTTATTTTCGTCATTTCATTGTATGGGTACCATGTATTCAAGGTATTCATTGGTTTTCTTCCTATAACTGTGGTAAATGGCATGACTGAAAACAACTTGGGGAGGAAAGGGTTATTTGGCTTACTCTTCCAGATCACAGTAGGCCACTGAGGGAAGCCAAGGAAGGAACTCAAGCAGGGCAGTAACTTAGAAGTAGGAACTGAAGCAAAGACCATGGAAGAATGATGCTTATTGGCTTGCTGCTTGTGACACTCTGTCTTTTTTATATAACCCAGGACCACCTTCCCAGGGGTGATACTGCCCCCCAGTGACCCTCCCACATCAATAATTAATGAGAAAATACCCTTACAGACTGATGGAAATCTGATGGAAATACTTTCTCGATTGACATGCTCTCTTCAAGGCTTATTCTAGTTTGTATCAAGAAGACAAAACTACCCTGCACATTGATTATTTCACTGATTGTAACTTTGGGGATGTTACTGGAATTGGCACATCTATTTTATTTATATTCAATTAGTTAAAGTAAGTCGATGGGTCAGCCCGAGTCAGTAGAGAGGGTGTCAAGTAAAGTTATGGTGCTGTGTTTTTATCTTTGTAGCATTTATAAATAAAGCATCATGTACTAATGTGGCTAGTATAAAATATATGATAACGTTTTATTCTCAAATATCCATCTGTTCCTTAGATAACTGCAATGAAGTCAACTTTGTCATGAGAGATTATCTTTTGTATGTGTGGTGTGTTTGTGTGAGTGTGTGTTTGTGTGAATGCACATGCTATGTATATGCAGTGTGCCCCTGGGATCTGCCTGTTTCTGTCTCCCCAATGCTGAAACTACAAGTGTGCATCACCACACCCTACAGATTTTAATCAATTCTGGGGATCAAACACAGACCTTCATGCATAAGCAGCACGCACTTCATTAACTGTTATCCCCAAGTCATAATGAATTCTTTTTAAGTCCAGTGTATTATTGGCTCATTTGTAATTTTCTTTCCACAACACAGTTTTTACATGGTGAGGTACTTTTGCCTTGAAAAGAATTCAGTATCACGCATATATGCCAGTAGTTGATGCATTACATTCTCTCCCTGCCGTATGTACATCCAAAGACTGGAATTCCTTGATCTTTCTTTCAATCCCATTGAGCCAGCCCCAGTGCTCTCAGCCTGGCAGCACCATAGAATCTATGATTTCACTCCATGAGTCATGCTGTTCCTTGTGGATGGTGCCACCTTCACACAAAAGCATTCGTCACACCCATCATTTCCAATGAAATGAGTGTCCAAGAAAGCCCTCTCTTCTATACAACATCACAATAGCTTCACTGGAAGGATTGTGACAGCAACTTCCTTATGCGGCTCAACAAACACAGAGTGACTCAATGCCTCCCACGGGGAAGGAGATGCTTCTTTTCAGTGATTACTATGGTCTCTCTCTTTTCTTTTACTCAGTCATTTGCTGATCATAACTTCCATTAATTTCATGAAAAGATCAGAATACCATCGTGAGGTTATTAGAATACCATTTGGTTATTGCCACAATAGATGCTATTTAGGATATTATAATTTAACATATGTTGGACACTGTGCTTTGTATATGATGGTGGACTAAACACTCACAAAGCTGGAGCATCTTTCCTCCATTTGCAAGGTGACCAACTCTGTGCTGGACAGTTTTATGTCAACTTGACACAAGATGAAAGTTGTCTGAGAGGAGGGAACCTCAATTAAAAAAATGCTTCTAGGTTGTAGGCAAGCCTGCAGGGTTTTTTGTTTTTTTGTTTTTAAATTAGTGATTGACTTGAGAGAGGGCCCAGCACTTTGTGGATGGTACCATCCCTGGGCTGGTGGTCCTGGATTCTATAAGAAAGCAAGAAAGCAGCCTGAGCAAGCCACGAGGAACAAACCAGTAAGCAGTATTCCTCCATGGCCTCTGCATCAATTCCTGCCTCTAGGATCCTACTCTGAGTTCCTACCTTGATGTCCTTTGATGTTTACCTTAGTCAATGTTCTATTGCTGTGAAAAGACACCGTGTCTACAGGAGCTCTTCTAAGGGAAAGAATTTAACTGTGGCTTACTTACCTGTCTTAGAGGTTTAGTCCATTGTCAGCATGGCAGGGAGCATGAGGGCATGCAGGCAGATATGGTACTGGAGAGGCAGCATCTGGATCAACAGGGAGCAGAAACAAAGAGAGATAGATATTGGGCCTAACTTGAGCACTTGAAACCTCAAAGCCCACCCCTAGTGTTGTACTTCTTACAACAAGGCCACACCTCCTCCAACAAGGCCACACCTCTTAATTCCTGTCAGTAGTGCCACTCCTTAATAACCAAGCATTCAAATATATGTGCTATGGGGGCTATTTCTGTTCAAACCACCACAATGGTCATCAGTGATATGGAAGTGTAATCCAAATGAACCCTTTCCTCCCCAACTTAGTTTTTGATGATGGTTTTATTGCATTAATAGAAACCCTAATTAAGACACTCTTCATCCTGTGTCAGAAGGGCACTGGAACTGCTTTGAACAGAAAGATAAGCAGAAAGTGATCTCTGCCCATTCAGAGGTTCGGGAGGCAGGAGGAAGGGTTCTTGGGCCGCACTGCCTCCTGTACAGTTTATTGAAGACCTCTTCCCATAGTAAGTGGGAATTTGATGCTTAAGATAAGCATCAGCAATCAGTTCTCTTTAGATCAGATATTTGGGAACTTCTTTTGTGATGAGCATTGGCTGATGGCTCTGGAATTTGACTGAATTCATTGAATAAAGAAATTTACCATTAGCAGAGGTTGGGGATGTGAGGATAAGGCTGAGACAAGGGGGGTCCCTACTACTCTCGGACAAGCAGACTAGCCTTGTTGGCAAGTTCCAGGCCAGTGAGAGACTGCCTCTAAAATACATGGACAATACCTAAGAAATAATACCAAAGTTTGGCCTTTGATTGCCACAATGCATACACATGAATACACACATACACACATACATACAAATGCACACTTGTACACTTGCACACATAGACACAAGAAGAAACTGCAAGAGGCCCAGGAAATGATGGCTTTGATTCAGTAACTCCTAAATGGTTACTTTCAACTAGGATGATTGAAGCAATCTTTGACTAATCTGGACACCTAGGCTTTGCCCCAACAAATCACATCAGGATTGCTGGGGACTCTGTACTTTCTTGCATAACCCTCAGGTAATTCCAATATGCAGGTGAGCTTAAGGGCTGACGCTCTTTCCCTAGCATGTAACTTTCCACCTTCTCCCACTTTCTTCTTTCCATTCTCATTTGGTTTCAGAACTTTATTCATTTGTCATCTGTTCATTCAGATGTATAATGGCTACCGACTAGACAGGTAGCCAATATCAATTTGGTGCCAATTGATACCTGCTGACGTAGAGAATGTACAAGAAGACTCTAACTTGTTTACGGACTTAGACAAGCTGGGTTTTGATTGTATTGTGTTTGAGGTGCTGTGTTCGTAGAATAGAAATGCTTGAGATTTGAGCTGAAGGATAGTGTAAAAACCCTGAGTGTGGGTATGATTGGTTTAGGAATTGTTAGTTGTAGCCTCTTCTTGTAGGAAAATGTTGCTCACTGTGAGTAAGGGTTACATTGTAGTGCTATAGTGTAAGATATATATGAGTGTATGCATATGTGTGTGTGTGTGTGTGTGTGTGTGAGAGAGAGAGAGAGAAAGAATACACTCCACACAACTCCACCCCTTTCCAAGGCAATTCTTATGTGTCCCCTAGGAAAACTATCAATTCTGCCTCCCTCTATAAAACTAAAGTGAAATATAAAATTGGAAAGCACTGTTTTTGAATATGGGCCACTGATTATGGGAATGCCATGGTCTTTTGTGCAGACATTTTTCCAGGGTAAAGCTTACTTGAAACGTTATCTCTTCCTGTATCTTTTTTTCATGGCTTATAAAGACTTACCCAAAATGGTCCTTGACTCTTGCCAGGGCCTCATTTCCTTCCATGATGTCTCTGCTTCACTTTTTCTAGCTACCCTGTGGTTTTGAATATATGAGTCTCTCTCCTTCTGTCCTCCTTCGTCTCCTTTATTTTTCGGGAGAGAGAGAGAGAGAGAGAGAGAGAGAGAGAGAGAGAGAGAGAGAGAGAGAGAGAGAGAGAGAGAGAGGATAATGATGTACTTATGTATGCATGTTCATGTGTATAAAGTATGTGGTGTATTTATACCAATGCATATATATATATATATGCAAAGGTTAGACTCTGGTGGTCAACATCTTCTTAGCTCACTATCCATCTTGTATATTGAGACACTGGTCCTCAGTTCAACCCAGCACTCACCAGTTCAGGTAGTCTAGCTATCTGTCTTACTCTGGGGTTCCCCTGCCTCAGCCTCCTAAGTGCTGGGTTACAGCTGGGCTTCCACACCTACCCAGCTTTTAGATAGGTGCTGGGGATATGAACTCCAGCCCTTATATTTTCACAGTATTCATCTCCCCCCTGAGCCATCTCTCCAGGCCAACATTTGCTTTTGATCTTCCCACAAACCTTCCCAGGTGCCTCTGGCTCAAAGTCAAGAATGAACCTAAAACAGAGCTATCATCTTCTCCAAAAGGCTGTGTCTACAGACAGCAGTCACACTTGACTTCCATTTTTAAAAGCATCTATTTGTCTCTAATACTTTTTTTTTTAATGTCATACTGTTGCCTCTATAAAGTCATGACATTTGAAACTCTAATTCCTGGAAATGAGGTGGTCCATAGGTGTCCAGTAAACAGCTTCCCAGCAGCTCCCCTGCTGATGTACTCCTGTTTATCCCAGTTCAGAGACATCACTACCTGTCCCTAAAACTGGATGCATCTTTTCCTGATTTCCATGTAGCTTCCTTATGAAGCACATTTATACTATAACAAGTATAAAACTGTAACAACTATAAAAGACTATAACAGTAGGGTAACAAGGCAATGCTAATCACGAAAGATGTCCCCCAAATTCTTAGTCTAGGTGTTTAACTGGACTGCTAGTGTTGACCTTAAACATCAAATTCCCATTGCTTGTTGGGACTGTTTTGTTTTGTAAGGGAAAAGGACACAGAGCTTTTGCTGGAGGGCAAACCAGGAGTGGTATATTAGCCAAATTCAGAATTTTCCACATTAGTGTCTTTCTTGGATATTACATGTTAAAATAGGATAGGAAAGTAACTTAGTAGTCCTCTTGGGAACAGAAGGTTTTGACGTTTTAAAGGTCACATCTGTACCCCAAGGGAAGTGTATAGAAAATAGAAGCAGGTTCATTCCTTAAGCTCATGACTTGAATGCTTTGACAACCATGCTAACAATGCTTACTGACAATGGGGGACAACAGTGGTTGGCTGAGAAGTAAAAGCAAAGCAGAGAATTCTTCTTTTCGAAGGATATCTAACTGTAATCCCAATTTCTAAAACTGATCAAAGCATAGAAGCTCTGTTTGAAGTGGGTTTGTAGCCTGGAGGCTTAGCTCTGTCAGGTAGCCTTACACAATCCTTTCTCCCCTGGAGGCCCTGGAGGACTAAAGCCTCATGCTTTGGAGAGCATTATCCGAGATACTACATTTTCAGGGCGGTGACAGATCTCACCTAGCTAAGAAAACCTGTTAGAGGAAACTGAGCTAATGAGTGACAGACACAGCAGGAGTCTGCTTTTTTGGTCTCATCATTGCCTGTGACACTGGACTGGATCCCTTCTGAAGGCATTTCAGTGTGCAGAAGCATCACCTGGAGCCTTGATACCATGCTGATTTGACTTTCGTAGATCTGAGATACGGTCCCAAACCTGCATTTCTCACTATCTGTCAAGGGCAGTCACAGTTTAGGCTCACATATTAAGACAATAACCAAGAAGAAGAGGAAAAAGCAAATTGGGAATGACTCTGCATTTTAAAACCTCAAAGCTCACTCCTAGTGACACACTTCCTCCAACAAGGCCACACCTCCTAATCCTTCTCAGACAGTTCTACCAACTGGAGACTAAGCATGTAAATACATAAGCCTATAGGAGTCATTCTCATTCTGACCACCACATTTCATTTCCTGCACCCCACAGGGTTGTGGCCATCATGAGGGTGGGGGGCTGTGCTTTGAGATTTCAAAGGCCCACATCACTTGCATTTATCTTCCACTCTCTGCCTTCTTCCTGTGGATCAAGATGTAGCTTTCAGCTATTGCTCTAGCACCCTGCCTGCCTTGCTACTGCCGGTTCCCTGACCATGATGGCCATGAATTCACCCTCCGAAACTATACATTCCCAATAAACTTTTTCTTCTGTAAACTGCCTTGATCATGGTGCTTTGTCACAGCAGCAGAAAAGTAACTGAGACAGAAGTTTGTACCAGGGCGTAGGATACTGCTGTGACAGGCCTTACACTGCTGTATTTGGGAGGAATGTGGGATTGGGATTTGGGTTAGGAAAGCAATTGAACTCTGTAATCATGGCTTAATTGGTTATCATGATAGGAGCTTGGAAGATGACTGTGCTGAGAGCAATATGGGCGGGTTATGGAGGTCCAGCCTAAGAAGTTTCAGAGGGAAATAATATTAGTTATGGGGGCTAGAGACCATTGTGATACTTTGACAACAAATGTGGCTTTGTTTTTCCTTTAAGACTCTGAAGTTAAATTGAAGAATTTCGGACTAATTTCACTGGCAGAGGAGATTTCAAGATATCCTAATAATGACTCTGTTATTAGTTATCACTCTTATGAAGATCTGATTTCAAGATATCCTAATAATGACTCTGTTATTAGTTATCACTCTTACGAAGATCTACAACAAAAAAAGAACAAACAGGGCAAAAAGAAACGTAAGTATACAGTTTAAGAGGAAAATGGGGCACTGGGACATTTAATGTTGGCAAGAAGGCTCGTGCTGAAGCTGTTGAGAGGCTTGATGTTAAGCAAAGTAAAGTGAGTGGTAGCCTTAGGTCAACACCCCACCCAACTGAACTTGCAACTTGTGAAAAGAAAATGCCTAAGGATATTAAAGCAACAACAAATCTTATGCAAATATAACTCAAGAGGGGGTGGGGGCAGGTTTTAGCCAAACAGACCATGAAACACAACAGCCTTGGCTTTATGTCAGGAAGGACAGCCGAGTGAAGGAGTTTTGGAGTCCTCCCTTGTGGTTAAGGAAAGCCACTGTGGCAGAGGAGTCCCTACTAAGAGGCTCAGAGGAACTACTGCATGAAGCTTTGATTGTGAAAGTAAAGTCTAGATTGTGTTAGAGATCCAAAAATGTTGGAGATGCCATAGGTGGCTCTAAGGATTGCTACACACAGGGAGCAGAACCAGCGTAAGAGAGAGAAGTGTGTTGTAGTCAGCAAAGTTGTAAGGAAAGACCCATTCAAGTCCTTTAGCATCCAACACAGAGCTACAGGATTTAGAGTTTTTTCCTGCTGGATTTCACTCTTGCTTTGGACCAGTTATTCCTCACTATACTCCCTCCCTTTCCTCCTTTATGGAATGGTAACATATATTTTGTGTCATTATAGGTTGGAAGTATGTAATTTGCCTTTTGCTTTTTACAGGTGGTTACAATTAAGAGTCTTGAGTCTCAGAAGAGGCTTTGAACTTTTAAACTTTGTTGAGACTGTGAAAAACTATTGGGACTTTTGAAGTTGGACTAAATATATTTTTGCAATATGATGTGGCCATGGCATATGTGGGTCAGGTGGTAGAATGTAGAATTTTAAATAAAATGATCTCCATAGTCTCATAGATCTGAATTCTTTGTCGTAGTGCTGGAACTGTGTGAGAAGGTTTAGGAAGTGTGGTCTTGTGGAGGAGGTGTGTCACTGGGGATGGATTTTCAGGTTTCAAAAGTCAATGCCATTCTCAGGTAGCCCTCTTGGCCTCCTGCTTGTGGAAAATATGTAAACTCTCAGCAACTGTTCCAGCACCATGCCTGCCTTCGTGTTACAAAGCTCCCTACCATGATGGTCATGGACTCTAACCTTTGGAACTCTGAGGCTCCAAATTAAATGCCTTCTTTTGTGGTGTTTTGGTTTTAGTATTTTTGTCATGGCAAGCAACTAAGACAGGTATTTACCTTCTGCCTTTAGGGACCAAGCAAGAGCAAGGGCAATAGTAAGTCTGTAATGTTTTGGGAGTCTCTTAGACAGAGATGATCTACATTATATTTGTCCTCATGCACACAGGTAAGTGTTGTTATCACCCCTCATCAAGGAAGTGTCTTTTTGAAACAGATAGAAACCATTACAGAAGACTACAACCAATAAAAATGTAGAGCTAGGAAGCCCAATCCCAATGGATACATCTACAAAATAATTCCTGCACCTAAGGCTCAGGGATCATTGTGAAAGAGAGGTTAGAAAGAGTGTAAAAACCAGAGGAACTGTCTGCTGTGAGTTTGTGTCTGCTGTGAGTTTGTGTCTCCTAGGAATGTCAGAAGCTACATCCTTATAGTATTATTAACATGATTACCTAACATGAGCTGAACAAGGCCAATAACTATTAAACATATTAGCATGTATGAAGGTGGAGGTGAGAGGGGTAGCTCAGGAGTCCTCAACCCTACACAAAGAGCTACAGGTAATCAAGGAATTCAGAGAGTAGGAGAAATAATATTCCCTGATTATCCAATTCCATTGGTCATCCCTGAAAACATACATACAAGTAGCATTGTACAGATTGAACAGGTGATGCTTATGCCTTTAGAAATATATATATATGTGTGTGTATATATACATATATATGTATATATATATGTGTGTGTGTATGTGTATGTGCATGTGTGTCTGTGTGTATCTGTGTGTGTCTGTGTGTCTGTGTGTCTGTGTGTGTCTGTGTCTGTGTGTATAGAAGTAATGAAAAATAGGCCACAAATTTGAAAAGGAGTAAGGAGGGGTATAGTAAGGAGTGGGAATGTTGAAGGGAAGAATCAGAATGGGGAAATGATTTAATTATATTGTAATTTTAAAACACAAAATAAAATAAAACAAAATAAAACATTCCCAATTTTAAAAAAAACTCAGGAAGGCAACTCAAAACAAACAAACAAACAAACAAACAAACAAAAAAACTTCAGGGCAGCT